TCGCCGGTATCATTGTAGTCATAAGAATGACATCTGGAATGAAGAAGCACAACGTGGTGTAAAATAGGGGACACAGTCAAAGGTACAATTATATTCTAAGGGTATATAATCTACAACTAGTAAGCATTCGCTTTTTTTCGGAGATTTTTTTTCAGGTTTGAACGGGTAAGTTAGAACTTTTGGATTTGAAGGCGGGACCTACAGTTTTACGCTGACTCCGAACGGCGATTCTATTTTTACAAGAAGCTATTTTTCATGACAGAAATACACTCGGAAGTTGGAAATTGCCTACCGAGGGGCGACCGCTATTAGAAACAAAACTTTCCCGTTTTTTTTTTTGTTCCTAATGGTTAAGTTTTTTTTGCTGGATGATACACACTTAATATTCGAACTTTACAAACTAGCTGTGATATAAATATAAAGGGCGCTTAAAATAGTACAGAAGACGCCAGCAGCGTTTAGCATGCCGGTAAATGTTGCAGCCACCTTCACATTAAATTGTCACCATTTAAACACATTTACAGTAAATAACATATTTTTTTATGACGACTTTGATAAACTATATTATGCTTACTAAACTCCATCGGTGGGTATTTTGCCTTCCATTCTATCTAAAGAAAAGTGTAACATAGGCTTACTGAGAGCATGTGCTATCCATTTCAACTAGTGAGTACTGGTTCAGTGGGTTATTTTGGCACAACCGACAAGGAACCCAAAGAAATATCATCAACGCTTGTAACCGCCGAATCGGAGGTATTTTTGGACGAAGGCATTCTTGGCAACTGAAAGCCATTTGTAGGTATGGCGCAGAAAGTCGATAACTTAGTGCCACACGGACTCAAACAAAGAGTTGTCGCACAACGTGTAACTGTTTAGTTAATTTATGGCTTTGTTTTTAATTTTATAAACTCCCTAACTACGTGGTAGCCTTTGCTTAAAAAAATTATTTACATCATCCTTATTTGGAATTAAACCGAAGAAATCTTACCTGTATGGTGAATTCAAACACAAATCACGGCACTCGTCAATGCTGTTGATATCCTGATATACAGAGTCCACC